TTAGTTACATGTTTAGACTCATGTGTATTTTATTTAATCATACTTTGCATGGCAAGAGACTTAAAGTGAGCACCCGAGTAACCCTTCATATCCTTCATAGCATGCATGTTTATTTGGTTGCATTGTTTTTCCATAATCCAAGTTTATGTATTATTTTGTGCAAAATTGTTTGTTTTATGTTTTATAAACATTGTTTATTTTCGGTTAAGTTTATGGCCATGAATCATAAAATTAATTTTTGTTCGAAAAACTATTATTTTCAAAAAGATGACTTGATTCTTTAATCTAAAATAAATGATATTTTTCTTTTATTCAAATCACATCGTTTTAGGATAGTAAAGGTTTTAGGATCTAATAATGGATTGTTTGAAATAATTAATCATTAAAATCATAAAATAGAAAGTTAGTAGAGACAAATTTCAAATTGGGCAAAAGGGTGGGTTTTTTATTCAATGACTTTCCCTTTTTGTATCTTAGCTCCCGAATCCAAAATTCTCGACAGATCAGGTCTTTTACTTAGTTTTCATTATTAAAAGTTTCTTAATTACCCATAAAATTAAGTGACGATTCTATTAATGTGAGATAAAGCAAGTTGACACACATAATATGAAAACGAGCCTAATAACTAAAAAGGTACGACACCCACAATTTAGTTTTCAAATTTCAACGTGTGTTTTAACGTGATTTTCTTATTATTGAATGTTAAAAATTTGGATAGAAAATATCATTTAAGGAACAAGCGACCATGTCTTAAGATTTTAAAGAACAAAATTACAAAAAAAAATTACTAGTTAACTTTCACTGAAATTCGTTGATTGCAAATGTTCTAACATTTTCTCAAGTTTTAAATCATGGGGTAACGAAAGGATTATGCTAAAATATAGGTTAAATTTGATTGTCACAATTAATAATAAATAAATCAAAACATACAATTTAAATTGAAATTAGAATTCAAAAGTGTAATTTATCCAATTTTTTAAAGGAAAAATTACACATTAGAGATATCCTTTTAAAATAATTACTATTTCATGAACAAAAATTTATTATTTTAATTCTTAAAATTTATAAAATTTTTACATTGATCTGAAATTATTTTTACAAACATGCATTGAACTACTATTTCTCCTTTTTTAAATAAGTTTTTGATTAAAGGTCCCACATGAAATATTTGTTGCCTGTATGATGTATACGTAGATGTTGCTTCACGAAGGAAACATGCTTGCATCACATAGCATCATTAACGGCTCATTTCTCAATTTTTAAATTGTAAAATGGTAAATGATATACAATCTTATTTTTTTTGGACTTATTTTCTAAATTTAGTAATGTATTAATAAAATAATCGATTGATAATTAGTAAATAAGTAAAAGAGAGAGTTGACTTAAATATTTTAATAGAGTGTTACATCCTTAAGTTTAGATAGTATGTCTAATTTTTTGACCTAAATAGTAATACTTTTTTAAAATATCATCTTTTGATTTAAAATGTCTACAGTCGTTTTCTCATTTGACAACAAAGCAGATGGTGGGTAGGGGTGTAAAAATAACCCGGTCGGCCTGAAATCTATTTGAAGTTTGCTTGTGGCCCAACTAAGTCCGAGCCCGAGCCCGAGCCCAGTCCAAACCTCCAAGCTTGGGCATGGGCCATGTGTTTTCTAGCCTGATCTGGCTCGTGAGCCCGACCCATTTGGCCTATCCTGAGGCCCATCATGTTGGCCCGATCCAGGCCTACTCTGAAGCCCACCCAAGGCCCAACGTTATTTTTAAGCTATTTTTTGTGGAAACAAACTATCGGGCCCATCTCAGGCCCAAGACCTAAATTTTCCTAAGGCCTGGGTTTGGGCCTGAGTTGAGATTTCGTGCGAGTGGACTGACCTAATTTTTAGCTGGAGCAAGTAAGTCTCAAAGGCGGGCCAACTTGAAGGATTGAGCCAAAATTACATCCCTAATGATAGGTAGTGATGATTATCTGCTATAGCCAGCAATTGCCGTGAATAGTAGTGACAGAATGAAAGGGAGATGGGAAGATGATCTAGAAAAGAGAGAAAGATAAGAGATGAAATGATAAAAAAAAGTTATGATTATCATCCAATTGTAATTATTTTTATCATTTCCATATCATTGTAATTTATTTTTGGACACTTTCCCAATTGACGCAATTAGGAATTGTCATCCCATTAAAAAAGTGTAATTAATTCTTAATCTTTTAATTTTCACCCCCAAAAAATTGTGAAATAAGATTTTATTGTTGAGGGAAAAAAAAAAAACCTTTTATTAACGTTTTACACAAGGTTACCCTTACCATCACTTACCACTATACAATAAATACAATACTCTCAATTTTTCATACCAAAAATTTTAAGGTTTTAAATATCAAATAAAGGCCCAAATTAATTAAAAAAAGGTTGAATTATCCTTGTTTACCAGTAGAAAATTATAATGAAAAATATTTTAAAATATGTCTATTTCCGAAGAAGAAGAAACAAACATATGGAATTCCAATTCTCACAAAAAAAAAAAAATGTCAGACAAGCAAATAAGAAGTACTATTAGAGACTCACAAATTAGACTTCTAAATTTACTTATAATAATGTGATAAGGGAGATAAATCTTACATAATTAAATATGTAACAAATTAAAAATTGACTTGTATATATTATTGTAGATTAAATTGTGAGTTTTTTTTTTTTTTTTTTTTTTTATTTTTTTTATCTTAAATAATTTTCTAAAAAGAAAGCAGACATAGTGCTTACACGCTTGCACGTGATCAAGTGCATTCAGTAGGGGGAGCCATTTTCCTCTGCATCGTACCGATCATAATCACTCATACCTAAACCAACCACAAATTATGGTGATAAATTGATGATGCGTTTCGCAGACACAATCAAAACCCTAGACGAAGCAAAAACTAGGGAAGGTGTCAGTGCCACGTGGTTAGAATGTGGGTCCCAAAAATGCAAGAAAGAGTGAGACCCCACTCTCCTCCGACTTAACTAAGAGCATCTTCAACGATTCACCAAAATTTTCATCAAATCTGAATAAAAAAGTGACTTTTTTCTCATTCTGATACGGAGGGCTCTAATGGTTCATCAAATCAAATTTTCATCAAATCTGCACCGGGACAACCGGTTGGTCGACCGGTGAAGGCAATTTTTTTTTTTTGAATTGTTTGAACCTTTTCAGTGAACTGTCTGAACCTTTTTCCGGGACGACCGGTTGGTCGACCAGCCGGTCGACCGGTAAGGCAAATTTTTTTTTTAAAACTGTTTGAACTTTTTTTTTGAACTGTTTAAATCCTTTAGTGGTCAACTGGTCGGTCAACCAGCTGGTCGACCGGTTGGTCTCCCCCAACGGTCAGGAACAGTGATTTGGTGAAATGCTGCGCCTGTTCTCATTTTGGTGAAAGATTTGGTGAATTCTCGATTTGATGTCGATTTGGTGAATCCGTTGGAACTTAAAAAAGTGATTTTTTCACCAAATTTTAAATTTGATGCTAGGTTTGGTGAAACGTTAGAGATGGTCTAAACTAACAAACAAAAAAATATAAATTATAAAAAAGTTTGTTTAAAAAATAAATGTAGCGTTTGGTAGAATTTTTTAAATATAATTTGAGAATAGAAATTATATTTTAAGTTTGCGAGTTTTGAAATTATAATTATAGTGTGAAAAATTTATTTGGTGAATGAGTTTTGAATTGAGTAGAAATTTTTTGATGTGACATATGATATTTGATATAAAAACTTACAAATCATAACTAAACACACAATTCAAAATTCTATTCAAAACTCATAAAAATTTTAAAAAATTCAGATTTTTTAATTTAAAATATAAAAAGTAGCAGGTGCTAATTGTAAAAAATAAAAAATGATATTGTTCCGGTCAATTGACCGGACATCCAGAGGATGACCGGTTAGCCCAAATTTTTTCGTCTTGAAAAAAGTTTTCAAAAGTAGATGCAGAATTAATTTTTGAAACTGTAACCAAACACTATGTGCAAATTAAGAGGTAGAATTACATTTTCAAAACTCTTCCAAAGAGAGCCAAATTGTTTCTTAAAATAATATCATTAAAAATTATTAATAACAAGATGATTTATTAATAAAAGAAATCAATTATTATGCAATTAAAAACTTTAAAAAATTAATAGTATAATTTTTAAAATTTCAAAAATAATCTATATTTTCAAAAAATATTATATTTATAATTATTAATAATAAAGAAAAGGAAAACAAAGAAATTGAATCTACACCATGGCCACACACAAAACACCGTAGGGGTAGTTTGTGATGATATAAATAAGTGTATTTTTTGACTTTCTATGAAATATGAGTTAGGTATGAATTGGGTTTGAAGTGATGTAGTAGAGAGGTGATGTGACTTAAATAAAATAATGACTTTTTAATTTTTTTTAAGTTATGACAAACAATGCCCAATATACAAGGAGAAGGATCCCTTCCAATTTAGATTGTAGATTGAAATTTTTTGTTTGAGTCTCTAAGACTTATTACATAATTTGAACCGTTTATTTTATTAAATATTTTATATATTTTATTTATATAATTTTTTTAAATTAATTCAATAATTATAATTAATTTAATTTATCACATTTTTAATTAAAAAAATTATGAGGGGAGGAGATCTTTAGGGACCTTTTGAAAATAGTTAAAAAAATTAAAAATCAACTTTAACATATTTTAAATCACATGATCTCTTATATAAAAAAATCAAAAAAAATTAAAACATATATTTTTAATCGTCTTTCCCATACAACGGTTAATATATGTCGACAATGCTACGTAACTCAAATTTTGTGATTTAAAAGTGGTTTAAATGGCCAAAACGACGTCGTTTTGAGTACAGAATAATAAAAAAATGACCAAAATAACGTCATTTTGACTATTTAAACCACTTTTAAGCCACAAAATTTGAGTTACAAGATATTTTTCAATGTACATATATGAATGTTGCATTTACTAACCCATTATTATTGCCCAATATATATCTACACATATATCTTCTCTCTCTCTCTCTCTCTGTATGCGCCACCCTCCACATCCCTTTTCCTTCTCCTTCTCTCTCTACCACCGCTATCTGTTTCTCTCTCTTCACTAGTTCCCTATCTTCCAAGTTCTCTCTCTCTACCTGTTCTGTGTCCAAGCCGAAGATGATGACGGACGACTGGGTTACGGCGGCTCTAGCTGACGACTCGGTGGTGGTGGAGCTGTTGTTTCGTCTCAAGCACTCATCGGAGTCGTTGGCTCCGATGCTCGGGTGGGGACAACGCCAGCCGCGGTCGAAGCCAGCCCTAGCCTCTGAGAAGAAGGAGCGCGAGTCAACAAGGTGTAGCCCCACCACGCCTCTATCCTGGAGCTGCGGCGGCGCCGCCTCTCCCAGCGACGGTTGCGATGAGTCCAGCCGCCGTTCCGATCGTTCATCCGGTGACAGATCCAAGGTTCGTCTCTCTCTCTCTCTCTCTCTCCTCTTTTGCTTACTAGCTACCTGATCTCTCTCGTGTGTGTCACACTTTTTCTTCGATTGACTGAAACACCCCTGGCCAATGAGCCTAATTACACATCTGAGAGCGTCTTTTGAAACTTTTCGGCTTCGGTTTTAAAACTATCGATTTTTTTTTTTTTTAATGTATTAAAAATCGCAGTTTAGTTCAATTATCGGCTCTGTTTATCGTCATGGTTCAATATTTCAGTCCGATCTGTGTTGGTGTCAATGTTTTTGTGTTGACCGAATTACCCCTGACGGACTGGTATAATTACGACCCCCGCTGTGGCTGCTCCGGTTATCGATCCCAACTCCCAACCCAACCACATCGTTTTCAGTTTTGGTTTTTATCAAATTTTTCCTGTCCGCACGTGTATGGAACAAGGACCATTTTGTAAATATGTCGATTTTTATTTTAACTCGCGATCTCCGATCTGACCGTCCTCTGCTCTGCTGATGTATAGAATGTATGTATATATATAATATCTGTGTGTAAATATTATTGTTATTATTATTTTAATTATTATTTTGGCCTTTTTAATTTAATTTAATTTATGGACGAATTTGCCCATGGGTGGAGTGGGAAATTACATTGTCACGTGAGGGATACCAGAAAGGAAAAGGTATTCACGTTTTTTTTTATCGCCTCTTTTCCGGTCACCTGTCATTCTATCGTTGTTAGCCCCTCTCTCTCTCTCTTCTCTCTCTCTCTCTCTCTCATTCATGTCATATGTATTTTTCAATTTGACAGAAACAACCTTCGGCTGAATACAAGTACGCTTTCGGCTGAATACAGTTTTTTGGGTCAGAATTTAAAAAAAGTAAATAAAAAAAATGTTGTAAAAGCTACGGAGTTCCCAGTTACCCCTTTGAGGGTGGACAAGTGAGAAACCATGAAGCTTCCTAAATCCAGGAACGAACCTTCTTTCTTTTTGTTTGCCCTTTTTTGCGTTTTCAACATGGTCAAAATTCTTTGTTCTCCTCCGAAACGGCATTTTGGTCATTATCTTATTTGGATCTGGTTTGGTGGACCCACTAGAGAAAGGTCCTTAGAGAGTATGATGCCCCCGCGTGTGGGGTGTTTTGAAAAATTGATACAAACCAGTGTGTTTGCTTTGAGTTTTTGGAATTAAGTTTTTTAAAAGTGTAGTTTTTAAATTTTAATATTTTTTTGTTTTTAATAAATATTTTTAAAATTTTAAATATATTTTATATTTTTTTAGATATATCTTATTTAGATGTATTTAAAAAGTAAAAAATTTGTGAAAAAATATTTTAAAAATTTAATAAATATATAAAAATATAAAAAGATATATTTATGTTAGATAGGTCTAAAAATTAAAAAATATTATTTAAAATATTAAAAAAATTCAGTAAAAATAAAAAATTACGAAAAACAAGAAAATAAATTTTTTTAAAAAGTAGTTTAAGAAAACACAACCAAGCATAGTGGTTCATTTTTTAACTTTTTTAACTAAAAAAAATTGACTTTTTGTTATTTTTTTTGGACTTCTTTGTGTAAAAAAAAATTAAAAAACTGACTTTTTTTTTTAGCTTCTTTCCAAAAACCCCTCTCCCTCTCTCTCTCTCTCTCGTGTTTTTTTGGGGGAGTTGTTTTGTAGTAGTCGTTTGGTGGAGAATTGTTCGAGGGGAGAGAATTTTTTGGATTATGTGTTTTGGGCAGAACCCAGAAGCGTTGAATTGAACGCATATCATATCAGCTATGGTGAGTATTTGAACCTTTATATTTTTTAAATCATAATTTAAAAAAAAATGATAATCAAACAATATATGAAACATAATTAAAAATTTCATGATTATAATTAAAATAAAATTATAATTAAAGAAAAAAATAGTATAACTTAAAATTTTTCGATTAATTATGACTTATTGTAATATTAAGCCTCGTTTGAAGAGTAACTATTTTAGTCAAAAAGTCATTATAAATTGTGACATTTTTTTATTTTTTTACATATTTTTTTTTATAAAAAGTTAAAAAATTACTAAAATAATTAGTTAACAATCAGGCCTTAATTATGATATTATTATTTTTTTTTGTTAAGATCTAAACGATCTATATATTTATATATATTACTATTATTATGTGTATCGCATGTCATTTATGAGATTTCAAGGTTTTCTGCTTGCTAGACCTTTCCTTGGAGGTGAGGAAAGTGCTTGGGTCATTGTTAGTTTGGGCGGATGAATTTACACGTGGCGTGGTGGAAATGGCACTCGTTCTTTCATATCTGGTGGGTCCACCACATCAAGAAATGACTCCCCTTCTTCTCCGCTAATGGCTGACGAGTGACTGCCAAGTTGCCAACTAGTCGCGTTGCTTTTCCGATGTGGCGACCCACGTGGACGTGGGTTCCTCTTCTACGTCAGAAGTGCACTTTACTAATAAATAATAAATTATCAAGCACTATCACCAAAATTTTACTAAAAATTCAAACTCATTTTAGACGTGTAACTTGAATTGATTGTGGTTAAAATTATTTACAAATTTTCTGGGTTTGTATTTTTACTGATAATCTAGTGTTGCCGAAACACCCAAGTGTTTTGAATCAGCCTCTTTCTCATTCAAGAAATTATTTACTGAAATAAATTGTCTAGTTATGTCGCCCTCCTAATTTACAACCACACTTCTAAATATGTAAATTCATTGTCTGCCCAACTTTAGGTAGAAGTTGATTGGATAGTTACGTGAGGTTGTATTTGTGTCATGATGTGTTCAATGCTTTCAATAATTTCTCCATTCCCAACTGGGTCACTTTTTATCAATCTTTGTCAGCTTCCTGCTTTGAGTATATGCTGCTTTTTTTCTTTCCTTTTTTTTTTTTTTAAATGTATCTTTTTTAATATATATAAATTTTTTCATTTTTTAATTTTTGGTCTGTTTTGTTCCAGTAAAATGTAGTAAATGTGGACAACTCTATATTTTGATTAGTCCACAGTGATTTTTGTCTTTTCTTTTTTATTTCTCTGTTTCTTTTGGGTCCATAGAGGGGTCCGTGGCTGAGGTGAATATGGGGTGGGCTGGAGTTTATCCATATATTTAGAGGGCCCATCAAGAGAGAGAGAGAGAGAGAAAAGCAGCAGAAAGCCAAGAGTAATGCGGTGACTATATATACATGTGAAAGCATGTATGATATTTGTTATTTTCAAGTCTTTTTTGTCCCATGCTTGGTGTTATCTTATTTAGTGGTAGATCGAAAATTCCATCACTGGGGCAATAAGATAACAGGCCATTGTGGTGGGTTCTGGCAGCCGGATTGGGTCAATTTATTTATTTATGTAAACAGCTTAAATAATTATTGAAATATTAATCATTACATAAGTGGCTTAAATATATTTATAATTTAAGAATTTAATATTCATTAGCATCTTGTCCGACATTTGCAAAGCATGGATAGAGGAGATATTTCACTCATTGGCGTTGTTTGGGAAGTGATTATTTTTTTGGCTTTTTGGCTAGGATATTTTAGTTTTTATGTTTTGGGAAGTTGAGTTGAATTTTTTGGTTGATTATTGTATTGAAAAATGTGTTTGAAATGATTTTTGAGGCCGAAATAACAAATTTGTCCTTAACCTCACTTTTTTCAAAATTGGTCTAAAAGAGCAAAATTTTCATTTACTATCCGTGGGACTAGGCTGTCACTACACTGTTAACCTAACAGTGTAGGCTGCCCCACTGCCGAACTACTTTTCTTTTTCTTTTTTTTAATTTTTTTTTTATAAATATAAACCATTAGTTTAGGGTACTGTTTGAGGCTATTTGACTTTTTTATTGTTTGAGGCTATTTTAGCCTCCCCAAACAAGGCCATTATTAGAGCTACAACTGCTTTAACTTTTAGTCTCACATTGTCAGTAAAAACATGCAAGATTCATCCTTCTATGAGTTCTATCTAAAAAGCCAATGCTTTGTTAAAAGTCACTATATGTATAATCTATTATATATTGGTTCCTTTTCAATAGTGAGAGCACATGGGAAAGGGATCCACCAAATTGGAAGGGCCACATAAGAACAAATCTAAAATATTGTTGTATTCCATTGTATATTGTAAAGGGGGAGTTTATCATGGTTCCGTCCCTAATCCTATCAGATCACTTTATATCTGGATAGATCGTTTAAATGCATGAGCTTCTCTTTGCATTTTTTTTTTTTTTTTTTTTTTTTTTTTTTTTTTTTTTTTTTTTTTTTTTTTTTTTTTGTTGTTATTCACTTGTTTCAGTTCAATCCATTTACCATAAACATTTGCTGAATTATGGGTGTTTTCAGGGTATTTTCACTAATGAGACCACTGCCACCGCCACCGCCACCACCAATAAGCGATCAAGAAGGAAAAAGGTAGTCTTTTTAAGCAACACTCGGAAAAGAACCCAATTCCGCTCTAATTTTACTAGTCTTTATTATATCATAATACTAAAGATGCAGTATTCTGAGATTGTAGTTCACTAGTCTTTGTTTGTATGACTTAAATGCACCTCATCATCATTATGATTTGTCATTTGTTTCTTGACTGTGTTGCAGACATTTGCTGAACTTAAAGAAGAGGAGATTTTGCTTCTGAAGGAGAGGATGAATTTGACGAAGGTCAGCAACCGAAGCAATCTAACTGTTCTCTTCTAAATCTAAATTTGTTTGATGGGATGGGATTGATCCTAATTTGTGGATACTATATGTATTTGTCAAACAGGAGTTAGCTACCTTACGCGAAACACTTGAGGAACAGAAAGCCAAAAGTCAGAATTTGAAGAGACTCAAGGTAACCCAGTTATTCTTTTCGTCTCTGTTTCCTAATTTGAATTTGTTCCATTTACTAAAGCAGTTCTATCAAGCATTGAGTCTACAACCAAAAAAGCTAACTAATAAGTTGAGAGATGGTATGGTATATGAAGATACTGTTATCACCAATATGAATGGTGAAAATGGATCTTTCATGTGTTTGCACAAGAGAGAGAGAGAGATTACTCACTAGAAATTTCCCATCTGCAACTTCAAAAACATTAAATATCAGGGATGTGCCTCTTTTTCCTTTTTCCTTTTTATTTTTTTTTATTGGTTCTTATAAGGACTTTGTTTTAGGTTAAAACATGTCGTATATATATAGAATCCAGATTAACTTCTTTTTTTTTTTTTTTAGTAGAATGAACTTCATCTTTGATGAGTACAGAGATTCCTATGTTATGAGATTCATTGTTGTTGCCTTCTTAGATTCCGTTAACTATAAAATTAAAAAATGTTGGGCTCTGGATTTCTATAAGATTCTCCAGGTAATATCCCAAGATCACAATAAAGATTCTCGTTTTTGTTAGGTTCAATTTTGAATCATTAGGATTTAAGTCGCGAGGTTTTAATAATTACGTTGCATGATTGGAAGAGGACCCATTGCTTTTATGAGCTCCAAGGCAAATATCAACTTGAGTGATATTTCAGTTCAAAAGTAATTAATTCTAACTTCAAACCCAATGTGTTAGTGCACCATTGCAATGTACTTCTTTAGTAATGAGAACCTCTTCCAGCTAGAGAGAATGTTATTTAAAAATTCAGGTTAATTTGGCCATACAATTCATACTTGCGCTTGGGACCCAATTTCCCTGTGGGATGTATGCGTCTTTTGCTTAAACTTAAAGATGCATTCTATTTTTGTGTCTATGGATGTGGTCAAGCTCACTTGTTTGGATTTCTATATATGGTATGGTGGTTGAAGTGTAGTGTAGAGCTTTCCCCTTTTTAAATGGAAGACAAATATTGAAACTAGGCACATAAATCCAATTTTTTTGACATTGCAACAATGGCAATAACACGCGGTTCCAATGACCAAACAGTTTGCCTGAGATTTGTCCTCGTTATAGCCTCTTCAGCTTGTCTGTGTTCCACACATTTATTTATCTTGTTTCATCACTCATTGATGTTCTTAATAATAATTATGATGAAAAGAAGACAGACAAAGGTGACATAAAATATTCTCTTTTTTTCAGCTTGATCTATATTCACAATCAGCAAATAAGTTGGCTGCAACATGCGATGAGCTGGAGGCTCCGAATTCCAGTCAGCCCAATTTGGCAGAAGTTTCTACTCTTGACCATGTTTCAGTCTTGCCAACAATTACATCTGCTTCCTGCAAAGTAGAAAATAAGGAAGTCGAAACCAGTGAAAGATGCTTCGTTCTACCTGATCTAAATATGATGCCATCTGAAGAGGATTCTGTTTCTGGGTGTGAGACTTTATATGGATTAAGTTGATGAGAAACAATTCCATGGTTTCTCTTTTCTATTCTGAAACAAGTGGCTATGATTATTAAAAGGGCTTCTTGGTTCAATAAAGACAGTCCGCGTTGGTCCTGAATCTGCATACGGCTAAGGAGCTGCTTGTAAGTATTAAAAAATCTTCTTCTAGATAGGACAAGGTGGAGGATAAAATGACCCGACATGCTCAAATTGCCGATTCTTGAGAGGCAAAACAAGTCATGAAGAAGGTTTTGGAAGGTTAGTGTAGAGATTGTAGCAGTTTGACATGTAGAAATTTTTTGATGTTCTGAAGATTCACATTTGTCTTGAAATTCTTTGGGGGTTAAATCGTCATTAACTTCATTTGGGGAAATATATCAAAGACATTAATGTGTCTTTATTCTTTACTTGGTAGGTATATACATGCATACAATTGTTAGATACCTGTGGAACTACATAAAAATCGTTATTTGACAATTTTGGTTGTGGGTCAAGAGTTACATCCCAGTTGTATTTCAATTTCTTCAGGAAAACTGGGTCAGATCACCTTTGATTGATTGGATGCATGGAAAATAGATGTTTTGAACTGGGAAAATTGGGAGATTGTAAGCTAACCTTTCATGCTTAGGTAGGTTAGTGGGACACGACATAGGTTTGTGCTTAGCCTGATTCACCTCATCCGCCTAGCAAAAAAGACAATAGAAAATAGGGCAAATTACATATACCTCCCTCAAGGTTTAGTTAAATTACAGATACCCCTGAGGTTTCAGAAATTACATCCCGCCCCCTGAGATTTGTATTTTCATAACAATTTACCCCTGAGGTTTATATTTCATAACAAATTACCCCCTAATTTCTTATGCAAATATAACATTCAGGGGGGAATTCGTAATTTCTCAAACCTCAGGGGTATCTGTAATTTAGCCAAACCTCGAAGATTGTAAGCTAACCTTTCATGCTTAGGTAGGTTAGTGTGTGGGACACGACACAGGTTTGTGCTTAGCCTGATTCACCTCATCCGCCTAGCAAAAAAGACAATAGAAAATATGTTTGGCCGCAAAAATATTATTTGTTTGGTTTTGAAATTTTTAAAAATAATTTTCGAGTCTTCAATTTGTATTTTTCAAATTTTAGTGATTTTTAAAAATATTTTAATCAAAAATTCAGTAAATACAAAAATATAGTATATTTTTTGTATTTTTGAAGATATTTTTATTTTTAAGTATATTTAAATTAGATATATTTAAAAAAATTTAAACAAAATGTATTAAAATATATTTAAAAAAAATTATGATAACAAAAAAATTAAAAACTCAAAAACTTATCTTTAAAATTTCAGAATTGAACAGAGTAGACAAATTTTTTCTTCTATACAAAAATTAAAAATCATTCAATTCTTTAAGGTTGTATTTGGATACAAATTTATAAAGTTAAAAAAAATGAAAAATGTTCAAAACTTAGAATTATGAATTTGAATACAGATATAAAAAAGGAAAAAAAATTAGGAAAATAAGATTTGGATTTTTTTAGGTTGAGGACATCTCAACTTGAGAGAGTATTTGGGTTTGGTAAGCCTATTTCGGGGCTGACTTTGATAATCCTAACCATTCACTTTTTTGTACTCGTTGAATAAAATATTCATGCACGGTAGCTATATGTTTGAATTATATATGTATTATAAAAATAAATGACTATTCTTGAAAATATAATTGTTGTCAATTTTTTTTTAAAAAAATAAATATAATTCAAACATATAACTATCGATATTTGATCATCTAGATGTTTGTTTTAGAAAAATGTTTCAAACCCCCTTTCCCTCCCACCTCCTTTCACTCCCATTGGCCAGTTTTTTTTTTTTTTTTTTTCCTTCTCCTCCGATCACCACCCGCCACGTGTGTGTGCGGTGGTGGGGGCGGTGATTGGAGGGGGTCTCTATCAATGCTGTTTATTTTATTCAACAAGTGTTAAAAGATCTTAATTTTTTGCAAGTATATTTTATTTAACAAGTCCTAAAAATAGAATAGTTCAGATCACCTAGATCAACCCAAAATAGGTCCATGGAGCTCAAATGCTCTCTCAAATTAGATGGCACGTGAGAGAATCCAATCCCAAAAAGATATCTAACAATTTAGATCAACGAGTCATAACTACATTGATTTTAAGGACACGTTTTATTTAAGAGCCCTTGTTAAAGGGTATGATCTAAATGTCAAATTTATGACAGTTAACTTACTGTTAATTTTGTGTAGTACTCTATATAGTTGGTAAATATTGACATTAAGACAATTGGATCTCACCGTTTAATTGTGGTAGGCTTCCCGTTTTAAAGTTTTTTAACAATTGAATATGAGAGAAATTCAATCTTTATTCTTAATCTTTATAGTTAGGTGTCATATTTGGTGAATATTTCAGAATAATTCAGTTATAAAACTACTTTAATAATGATTTAAACATAATTCTTTTTTATTAATCAGTTAAGATGTAGACTGTCAAACTAGATATAATTGTGGTAACAAACAACAAGGGTTAACACAAATTTTAGATTTCACTGTAACAGTTTTGAACACATTTTTTTAATTATGAATCTATTCGATGTCCACTAAAAAATAAATTACAGTTAAATTTACTGTAATTAGTATCTTGAACCAGTTACGATGTAGTCAACATCAAATGACAACAAATTTTGATAGTAACACATAAATGGTCAACTAGATTTTTTTTAATTATAAAATTTATGTATTGATGTATGATAGATTATGTTTACTTGAAAACTTTTTGATATTAAAAATTGAAAAATGCTTCAGAGTTCGAAATTTTCATGACTCGAGTGGCCTGAATCCAAAACGAAGTCGTTTTGGATTTTTTTTTCTTTCTTTCTCTTTTATATCTGGAACAAAGGAAGGGAGGAAGAGAGAGAAAGAGAAGGAAGATAGAAGAGGAAGAGAGAAGGAAGGGGGAACAGAAAGGAAGAGAGAAAAGGAAGGGGGAACATACCATCATCGGCACCCGCCATCCTCTGTGTGTATATATAGATCTGTATACGTATACACAGATCTTTATCTCTGTTTCTCTTTGTGTATCTATCTCTCTCTCTCTCTCTCTCTCTCTGTGTGTACCTCTTTCTTTCTCGTTCTCTGTATCTCTATCTCTATGTGTTGGGTGAGTTTGATTTGTGGTTGATCTCTATGTGTAATGATGATGATGTATTAGGTGGGTTTGATTTTTGATTGATGATAATGATTCTCTCTCTCTCTGCTGTGTTGATGATGATGTGTTGGGTGGGTTTGATTTTTGGTTAATGATGATAATTCTCTCTCTCTCTACACCTCTCATCTACTCTTCTTTCTTCTTCTTCTTCTTCTGTGGGTTATGGAAAGGAAAAAAAAAAAAAAAAAGGCCAAAATGACGTCGTTTTGGGATTTCGGCCCACTCGAACCATGAAAATTTTGAGCTAAGTAGCGAGATTGTTAAAAATTTATGATTTTAACTGTTTACTGTACTTAACAAAAAAAACACTTGAACTGAAGAGTAGATTTATGGCCGGAGCAATTTTTTTTTAAGGTATGGAATTAAATAATATATGATTGAAAGATTTAAAATCTATTGTGATTAAGTATCAAGGCATTGAGTCCATCCAAAGCTCAGAGTCCGAATCAGGGGTGGAGTTAGGATTCCTCCATTAGTGGGTCAGAAGGAAGATTTGTAACCAATTTTTCTCAACAAATGATGCGTCTATTCAAGTTTTTATAAATTAAATAATTATTAAAATATTAATATAAACCAATTAGCTTAATAAAAATTTATAAATGACTAATCTTAATTTAGACATGCTACTCACTTCTCAAAAGCTTACTAGTATATGCGCGTGCCTAAATGCATGGTATAAATAATATTGAGATTAAAATATAATTGTAATTTGTACGTATCATATTAAAATTTGTAGAGTCTATAGCACCTGATAAAAGTTCAAGTCAGCACTCATATCATTAGTTTGTGGCTAACACCTGATATACTGGTGAGTGTCATAGTACCCCAAACCATAAATATCTGATTGAAATAATATAATACACAGAACATAAATAGCATAACCTTACAAATAGTAGTCTTTAGAAATTATTTACATATTAAGATACGAAAATCAAATATTTTGAAATAATTTTCCAATCAAAATACGGAAAGTATTAAAAAATTAAATACATCATATCATGAAGAAAAAATTATCTCTATGCCATAACATCCCAATAATATAGCAATACATTTTTCAGAGTCCATCCAAAGCTCAGAGTCCGAATCAGGAGTGGAGTTAGAATTCCTCCATTAGTGGGTCAGAAGGAATATACGTAACCAATTTTTCTCAACAAATGATGGGTCTATTCAAGTTTTTATAAATTAAATAATTATTAAAATATTAATATAAACCAATTAGCTTAATAAAAAATTATAAGAGACTAATCTTAATTTAGACATGCTACTCACTTCTCATAAGCTTATGTAATTATTTAAATATTATTCACATGGTCTTTTGCTCATAAAACTTCCCAAGTATTCTAATTAAAATATTATAAAAATTCATATAAGAAACCAATACCTTTAAAGTAGACTATAATTTTAATTACTTAAAAAAGTAGTTTTTTTTTTCTTTTTTCCATTTATTGGAATAATTGATAACCTTTTAAACAGAAAGTCCGATTTATTTTTTAAGAAATATTACATGAGATATTAAATTTTGATGAACAATTCTTAGACAAAGTGAGCTTTTCAATTTTTTTTAAGTGTGGAGATATAATTTCTGAGTACCAACACGTAGCCAAGGTGACACCGACATGTAAGCCGAGGTGCCACGTGTCCTGGTTATGACGTCGAGGTTATCTCGGTTAGGCCGAGGTTATCTCCAAAAATATCGGAATCCGAGATAAACGGATAAGGCATAAGAGTCCTAGAATGAGGAAGGACTTTAGCATGGATAAGGATAACACTCATAGGGAGTTTATCTTTATCTCTTAGAGAGTTCAGGATAAGCACTGAGTAAGAAGTCCATTGAAGCTAGGCTTCTATGGGGACTATGATTGAGTTAACTATAAAAGAAAAGCACCCCCGATGGGTCTAAGGTACGCAATTTATATTCTGAACAGTGAGTTTAGCACTATTGATTATCTTTGAGAGATATACTGACTTGATCGTCGGAGTGCCCCCGGGTGGACGAACCACCGCCGGAATCTTCTCTTTCTGTTGCAGGTCAGCCAGGTATCATCTATTCTGCCAGTACTCTCAAGTTGAATACTAAATTGGTAGTGTGATCGGAAAATCACTCACACAATTTGGTGCCGTCTGTGGAAAAGAAAGGAGAATAGATGGCCAACGACGGATAGAAGGACAAGGTTGGGAATGAAACCCCCGCTGGGAACAGTAAGCACATTGATCCTGATATGGAGGAAGATGGCCGTAATGAGGAGACTCAGAACCAGAATCACGGCAAGAAAGACGTTGGCCGAGATGGCGACGTGCCAAAGAAACCAGATCGAAGCGGATACTACAACGAGGACAACCTCCAGGTATGGAAGAATAGATGCCTACGGAGGGACGACGATGTGAAAGAGATGGCAAACAAGTTGGTAGACCTGCAATCAGTCGTCAATTTTATGATGCAAAGTAATGTCATGCAGCCACCATACCCGCTGCAGGACACGCCGATTCCAGCGGCCAATACCCAAAAGGGAGGGCTGAAGCCAATCCCAATAGCCCCTCAGCACACCAGAAGCGAAAAACACTCTCACCGGCCTTCCAAGGAGGTTGGGCGAGAAGAGTCGAGGAGAGAAAAATCACGAAGGACACATCGCACTAAAGAAATAGACCCAAGAGAACATCGACACGTTCAAAGGCAGAAGCTGTGCTTCGACACAACTCATGGAGAAAGGTCGAAAAGGGCCCACAACGAAGCTGAGAGTAGTATGCCGGAAAGACTGAAATCGGGAGATAGCCGAGCTCCTGGGCGGACAAAGGAGGACTTGAGAGATTACCTCAAGAGGAAGCAACAGAATGCCGATGCCGAGGTAACCTCCCCTGATAAGCCGAGAACACCCTTCTCAGTGGAATTGGACAAATTTGAGGCACCGAACAGATTCAGTATGCCGAGATTCCAAATATACGATGGTAAGTCAGACCCCAACTTCCATGTTGGATTATACTTGAACTCAATGGCATTATATAGTGGGAACGAGCCGTTGCTCTGCAAAGTGTTCCCCTCATCCTTCGGGGAGATTGCATTAGATTGGTTTCACAAACTACCGAAGGGAAGTGTAAAGATCTGGGAAGGCCTGGCCGAGATGTTTGTGGCCGGGTTCGTGACAAACAAGTTGCAGCCATTATGGGTGGACGCATTGATGGCTCTGAAGATCAGTAAAGAAGAAGGCCTTAGGGCCTATGCAAAAACATACTATGAGGTGTTCAACCGAATACCCGAATGCAACCAAGAGGTGGCGGTCGTGTCTTTTAAGAACAGCCTGAAAGATGATTGCGCTCTACGGAAATCATTGGCAAAGACATTGCCAAAAAGCATGGAAGAACTCATGGCTAGAATTAAGAAGTATGCCAGAGCTGAGGAAGATACGTCGGGGACAAAGGAGACAAAACAAGAAAAGGAAACAGCTCGCCGAAGCGAGGCCGAGGTAACAATGGATCCAGCAAGCAAGAGGTAAGACTGGAGGCTACACAGGCAGTTACAACTGTGTTCTGAACCCCGATTCACAAAGTCTTGGATAAGATTCAGAACCAACCCTATTTCAGAGCGCCAGCAAGGGCACCAGGAGAGTTTTATGGGAAGAAACCTTGGCAGACATTATGCTTACCACAATGAAGATGGGCACATGACTCAGGGTTGTAGAGCCCTGAAAACACACTTAGAAGACCTGGTGAGGCAAGGCCATCTGAGAGACCTTGTCGATGAGGCCAGGACAAGGGAAGAACATGCAAGACTGCCTCAGGCACCAGCAGCCCCGCCTCCCCCAGCACAGCAACCTCAGGCAGGAGGACCTTGGGTAATTAATATATTTCACTCAAAGGTCAATGAAAACGAGATTCGGGGAGAGACCCAGAAGGTAAAACACCTACAGTATGTCTACCAAGTTGGGGAGAAGAGACATCGGGTAGAAGAGTGCCAAGGACTAGTAGTGTCCTTTACTGAAGCCGACCTTGAGATGGTGCAGCATCCACATAACGATGCCTTGGTAGTATCCCTCAAGATTGGGAAATGCCAAGTGAAGCGCATCTTAATCGACCAAGGCAGCTCTTGTGACATCATGTACATCAGATGTTACAAGAAGCTTGGCCTTCACCTAGACGATATGGAGCAATCCAATAGCCCAATGGTTGGGTTCAATGGAACGCCGACATAGCCACTGGAAACGACGAGCTTGGAGGTGCAGGCTGGCACTAAGAAGATAAAGACAGAGTTCACCGTAATCGACACACCCTCCCCTTACAATATCATCTTGGGAAGGTCGTGGTTGCATGTGATGGGAGCTGTTCCCTCAACACTGCATCAACTATTACGGTTCCCAACAAAGCATGGGATAGAGGAGGTCAGAGGAGATCAGCTGCAGGCAAAGAATTGCTCCATGGCAGCAATGAAATCCACCTGCAGCATACGAAAACCAGAGAAAGAAGAGATCGAAGACAAGGACATGGTAGTCCTAGAGGATATCGGCAAAGAGCCAGCCGAGAAGAGTGAAGAAGCACTAAAGAAAATCCTCGTCCAGGAGGGGGATGAAGAACACTTCTTTCTTCTCGGCTCGGGGTTAGCCGATGAAGAGGAAAAAAAGTTGGAGGCATTTTTTAGAGCAAATATTAAAGTGTTTGCCGAAGTAAATAAATAAAGTTTTGCTCTTTTGTCATTTGCCGAAGCAAATAAATAAAGTTTTAGCTCGATTTATTCGTTTATACACTTGTGACTGATAAAGATACATAACGTTGTTTCTGGAATACATGTATAATGAGAACCCAAGTGGAACTTAGGTTCACATTAGGGGGCAGAGAGAAGAAAAATGGTTTTAACACTTGTTGAAACTTGCGAAAAGTTTACAAGTTGAAGTTAAACCGAGATGATATTTAACACTTGTTGAAACTTGAGAAAAGTTTACAAGTTGAAGTTAAACCGAGATGACGTTTAACACTTGTTGAAACTTGCGAAAAGTTTACAAGTTGAAGTTAAACCGAGATGACGTTTAACACTTGTTGAAACTTGAGAAAAGTTTACAAGTTGAAGTTAAACCGAGATGACGTTTAACACTTGTTGAAACTTGAGAAAAGTTTATAAGTTCAAGTTAAACCGAGATGACGTTTAACACTTGTTGAAACTTGAGAAAAGTTTACAAGTTCAAGTTAAACCGAGGTGATGTTTAACACTTGTTGAAACTTGAGAAAAAGTTTACAAGTTGAAGTTAGACTAAGGTGAAACACTTGTTGAAATTTTATGAAAAAAATTTACAAGCTGAAACCAAGGTTATGCCAAGAAAGGTACTTGGGTACTTACCGAGGTAAATCATCAGTTTGTATAACCGAGGTGTTCCACCCCGAGAAGGTTGCACAAAGATTGAAGTGTATATTAAAGATATGCAAAATATTCTAAGTACGGAGTAACACAAGAGCAATACAGAAAAGACAAAGATATAAGCATTCAGAAAAGAGAGTTATATTAAAAAGTTGACATATCGGCCAGAGCTTACACTGTTTTAAAAGAAAAACAAATGTACAGAGCACAGAAGAAAGAGAAAAACATGAAATTAAGACTCTTCAGCATCATTAGCAGGCTGGGTTTGGACCTCGGAGGACTGCTGAGAAGACAGCTCGGCGGCCTTCTCAGCCGCAAGCTCAGTGTCAATTTCTTAAAGGGTTACATCAAGGCTCTTGTCGGCGAAAGACATGTCAGATAATGCTTTCTCAGGAGTGGCATCCTTAGGGACTTCCTCACCCTCCTCATCTTGAGTCAAGTCCAGGACTTGCTCATTCAGAGAAGGGGACTTGGTCCCAGCAGCCTTCTTTGATTTCCTCACCAAGGTCTCCTCCTTGGACTCAAATTCGCCGTCGAATTGAGTTGGAGTTGGAGGGAATAGAAGAGGAATGACGTCGACGTTCCTGAGGGGCGAGTCCTCGGGGACTTCAAGCTTTTTTAGAAGAGACATCCAACCAAGGGTGAAACCCTTGTTGCATGCCTGCTTCACTTGCTTTTCATAGTCAGTTGTGACATCGGCCACACCCTCATTATAGCCCTTCTCATCGGCTACTTGGAGCTCGGCGTCCTTCGTGGCCAAGGCTTCTTGCAATTTTTTTTGGGCTTGGGCCGTCTTTTCCTCGGCCTCCCTTTTTTCGGCCTCAAGGACCTTCTTGATAGCCTCAGCGAATTCCGCCTTTTCTTCAGCGTCGTTTTGAGCTTTGATGGCAGCCTCGACCTGATCCTCCAAAGTCTTCATCTTTGACTGCAGATTTTTGTTAGTCTTTTGCAGACTGGAGACCTCCCTCTTTTTGTCGGCCAGCTCCTGCCGACTCTCAAAGGCTTGCACTGAGAAGGAATGAGCATGCTGGATGGCCTGAAAGTGAACAGAAGGTATTAGAATATATTGTAAGTATGTAATGAAGAGAAAGAAGGAAAAATTACCCAATAAAGAGACTTACCTGAACAGAGTGCTGGAGCATCAGAGCATAGTTCTCATATTCGCTCATATCGGCGTTTCAGTCGAGATCGCCGAGAAGGAGCAGAGCGGTACTAAGGGTGACGACGACATTAATGTCGTCGGCACTGTCACTAGCCTTAACTGGCTTATCTTCCAGTGTGATTTGGGGGGCCTATGGGGCATCGTGCTTTGAAGACCCCGAGGTGGTTGTAGCGGATGACCTCTGCCTCTTTGATCGGGCAGACTCGGATGGTTGGGCCTTGGCAGGCCTCTTCTCCGCGGCAGAGTGGGACTCATTACTCTCAGCCAGTTTGGAGATCAGCAAGGTGTCCTCAGTGTCAACCTGAGTCACCTTTGCCTTTGGCTGAGCCTTCTTTATCCTTTTTTGCTTTGGCTTTGGAGGTTGGGTTGGAGCTGGTTGAGCATCAACAGTGGATGGAATGTTGGCCAAAAGATCCTTGGCGACTGCATTTTGGCAGCCTATTTCAGCAGCAAAAACTATTCGGCATCGTCGACGATGCTGGGATATCGGGATCAGATATGGAGCCGAAGTAGACGGCTGCTCAGCCGGATCAGAGGTCGATCCTTGATCTGGCCGAGATGAAGAGACTGCTTGAGGAGTTATAGCGGAAGGCGGAGAAAGGCTTTTCTTTTTCTTCTTGGGGACGTCGGGAAGAGCTGACTTGTAGGTAGGAATGAAATTGAGTAGAAGAGGGGCCTTCCGTTTGTGGACTAGTAGATCCAGTAACTTTTTCAAGCCTTTGCTGGGAAAGAAAGACTGACGGAAGCCCTTTGGTGGCTGAAGAAGAGCTGCAAGAAAAGCAGACATTAGAAACAAATAAAGTATTGAAGACTTTAAAATTGAATAAATGCAAACACTGGGCTCTTACCATTGCCCTCTACAAAAACTGTTCGAGGAAGAGGGTAAAGATGAAGGTCCTCATCTGGAGCAAACTCCCAGTTCCCCAAGGTAATGAAATAGTCGTCTCCAGCTCCCTTGTTGGAGTCAGGGAGGTCGGCTACGATTTTGTACTCTGTAGATCTCAGCTTGAGGTAGTAAACGTAGCCCGTATCTTTTTTGAGGCCATACATGGTATAGCAAAACTGGATATCGGCTAAGGTAACCTTAACGTTTTCTTGTTTGGCTAAGGCTATGATACCATTAATAACTTGGTAGGAGTTGATGGCAAGTTGCATTGGGTTCAACTTATAGTAGTGAATGATCTCACGAAAAAGGATATTGAGTGGGAGCCGAAGTCCACACTCGATAAAAGCTACAACAAGAAGGGGCATGGAATCAGCTGTGGGCATGATAGAGTCTTCCTTCCTAGCCAACCTCAGATGGACGTTAGCAGGGATGTCAAACTCGCGCCTAAAGTGATCTAACTTGGTCGGGGTGTCTATTCTATGTTTCCACATACCCATGATATCGGCCTAACTAGGAGGAACTGGGTTTCAGAATGAAGGTGTTTTAAAAGGGTTATTGGGACCTCGGCAAAAACCTAAAAATTTGCGGGGTAAGAAATTGTAGGGATCATTTCGGTTTTTCCTAAGAAATTGTGGGTTCTACAAACAAATCCCAAACCTAAATCTATGGAAACGAAGATTGAAGGCACGAATCTGGAAAACAAAAAAACAAGAATGCGCTTCAGAATCAAGAACAAAGATGGACTATCAAGAATATTGTAAGTACAAAGGGTATAAGGTCAAGAACAGTGGCAAAAGTGTAGAAAAGTTATGAGCAGTGCGTGTATTCAAGACATGGGCAAGAGCAAAATCATGAAATAAACGCATTCAGATGCGTGATTCATAAATCAAATACTTGAGTAAGACAACAACAGATAAATGAAACGAAACTTCTTGAAAAATAACAAGAAACTGAAACCAGGAGGAACGGTGACTTACCAGAAAAAAGGAAGCCGATGTTGAAGTTCGCCGAAGTCAGACGAACGGCAGCAGCGGAGAAGAGTAGCAAGAGTCTCACTAGAGGAGGTGAACAACGGTGGTAACAGAGCTTGAAAGCTTCGAACAATGGAAGATTTGAAAAGGCTAGAGAGAGAGAGAGAGAGAGAGCTTTTGAAACGATGTAAAGTGGAAAGACAGGGGAAAGAAACAAGTTTTGTCAAAACGTGAAGAGGCGGCAAAAAGGAAATCGATGAGCCTAGAAAAACGAATTTGTCAGATGGCGCATGTAGGCGTGAGACGACTTACAAGCGCGTACAGAGTACGATCCAGTTAAAGGAAGACACGTGGCTGAAACGGTTGAGTTATTTTGCATGACAGCTCATACGCGTGAAAGAGATTTTGGAAACTTTAAACCTTAAAGAGACATGTCGGCCTATATGATGATCTCGGCTGAGAGACTTT